CCCCCCGGCCCAGGGGCTCCAGCAGGCTCTCCGAGTTCTCCAGGATCTCCTGCAGCAGCCGGCGCTTCTGGTATTCCGGACCTGCGGGAGGTAACGCGGGGGACGGGGTCGGATCCGGTCCCACCACCGGTGCGGTGCCCTGGGCAAGCTGCTCAACCGCGCCGAGCGCCTACCCACCAGCTACGTGTGCCAAATGTTTCCAAATACTAGCTCGCCTGATAGTGTTAACAATCCTGTGGGTCGATGTTATTAGTCTCTATTTTACAGATGCAGAAAGGGAGGCTCAGAGAAGCGAAGTCATTGCCCAAAGGCACCCAGATGACAAAGGGCAGAGCCGGGACGAGCGCCCAGGGAGTCTGGCTCCAGACTTTATGCTCTTAACGGTCACGCTGGTCTCTTTCCATTCCCTTATCTGAAAAATTGGCCTAATCATGCCTAATTCATAAATACTAGTAAAAGGATTACCAGTAGTTAGGTGAAAAAAATGCAGGGCCTGTCCCACCCAAGGCAGAGGCAGCCAGCCAGTGTCGCTCTTCCTGGGACCAGCAGGGGGAGCGCTGGGACCAGAAGCGACTTAGCCTCGCAGGCTCAATTTCGTGTTCCCAGCTCTTTTTTAAAAAATATATATATATTTTATTGATTTTTTACAGAGAAGAAGGGAGAGAGTTAGAAACATCGATGAGAGAGAAACATAGATCAGCTGCCTTCCGCACACCCCCTACTGGGGATGTGCCTGCAACCTAGTGACCGGAATCGAATCTGGGACCCTTCTGTCCACAGGCGGACGCTCTATCCACTGAGCCAAACTGGTTAGGGCTTCCCAGCTCTTTTATCTAGTTTACCCTTGGTCTCCTTGCTGCAGCCAGAATCATGTTTAGAAAACAAATCTAATCAGGCCACTCACCTTAAAACCCTCCATGCAGAGAACAACAGTACCCCACTCTGGGGGGCTCCCATCACTCTAAGTACAAGGTCTGTATCAGAGCCAGGAGGTCCTCCTTACTCTGCAGCCTCATTTCTCAGAAAGAAGAGACAGCCTGGAGCGGAGCCAGTCTGCAACTGGGGGCCCCTGATACCCCCACCACAATCTCAGCACGAGTCCTGTGTCAGACCATCCCATGCCTGCATCATGCCCACAGCTTCTAGAACTCACAGGCTATCGTGAACACACTTGGGCATCTCAGCTTTCCAGCAAAGAAAAAGAAAAGTGTCCGCCCTTGGGGACCTCCCCCCACCCTGTCCTGACTGTCCCCTCCTCGGCTGGCCCTACCTGGCTGGTAGAAGTCTGGAGCCAGCTCTCTGGCCAAACTGCGGGCAACGTTGCACTCTTGGTTGGCAGCCAGGGCGGCCTGTTCTGCAGCCTCAGCTTTGGCCTTGGCATGGCTTGTCCTAGGAGACAACATGATGGAAACTCAGCATCCTTCCGGAAAACCAGCCCTCTGTCCCTTCTCCCCAGCTCACAAAGAGACACCTTGGACAGAGCATTCATTCACTCAGGCTGTAATGAATATTTATTGAGGCCTGTGGCCCAATACTGTGCATTTTCCAGACCATTTCCTCTTCTTTCTGGGCATACAGATAGACATTTCCCAGCCTCCCTTGCAGCTAGGCACGGTCAGGTGACTGAGTCTTAGGTAATGCATTGTGGGAAGGAGTGATGTGTGCTCTTTCCAGGCCTGGCCCATAAAAACTTCTCCTATGATTCTCTGTTTCCTCTCTTTTGTCTCCTGTTGCTGGTGAAATGCAAAGGAGGCCAAGGCCCCAGAACAGGGCACTTGATCTTTTTTGTGTCACAGACCCCTTTGGCATCCGGTGGCGCCTAGGGACCCTTTCTCAAAATGTTTTAAAATGCAAAAAGGATATATGATTACAAAAAGATGCCATTATATTGACCTGCGGTTATCAAAATATTTAAAGGACCACATTTGTAATACAATATATTCTTTATGAATATATTAAACAAAATACTAGCAGGTCTATTACCTACTGCAGTTTTAAAGTACAAATTAGCATAACGGATATTTCAAGGGTCTGCAACAATAGTAATGTGACATGTGATTTCTACTGGTGACAAAGTCACAGATACACTAATACTACTGTAGTTTATTGCTTATTTCCATGATTGAGGAAAATGCTAAGTTTCAGTTAGAGGCTGATAAAAATGAAGATGTAGCTTTCCCATCTGTGGGAAACACTTGGTGCTCCGCCGTGATCCCTTTAGTGGGCAGATGTACCCACCCCTAGGTGCTGTACTCCCTGCTAATGGCTCATTGCTGTCCCGTAGAATTGCAACCAATAGAAGACACCTTGCTCCAAGGCCAGAACAACCTCCCCACCCTGCAAACAGGCAGGCAGCCCAAACCCAGTGACTGATGACACCCCAGTTCCCTCTTGCACCTAGAGGAACCAACTCTATGGTACGAGCCAGGCTCAAGAGTGCCTGTGGGACCAGGTTAAAGCAGGATGCCAGGCAAGACCACATCCTTGCTTAGCCACTTCCCTGTCCAATCCTGCTTATTTCACTCCCCTCTCTCCTCAGAGCGTTTTCTGATTAAACCATGTGCACAAAAATCTCCACCTCAGACTCAGCTTCTAGGGAATCTACCTAAACAGCACCCAAGTTCGTGGACTCCTTGGATTACATCCAGAGAACCCTCTGTGGACTCCACTTTAAGAAACACTGTGAAAGGAACCTGGGTCCATAAATGACTATAACATAGAGCAAAGTCCCATACCACAGTCCCACATTGGAATGTTTAAGCATTAAATTTAAACATTAAATGTAGAACATTTAAGCAAGTCTTAAACGTGTATTGCATTAAACACCTGAGATTCAAGGGATGCTTATTTCAGCTGTTAGTCACTCTAGCCCAGTGATGGCGAACCTTTTGAGCTCGGCGTGTCAGCATTTTGAAAAACCCTAACTTAACTCTGGTGCCGTGTCACATATAGAAATTTTTTGATATTTGCAACCATAGTAAAACAAAGACTTATATTTTTGATATTTATTTTATATATTTAAATGCCATTTAACAAAGAAAAATCAACCAAAAAAATGAGTTCGCGTGTCACCTCTGACACGCGTGTCATAGGTTCGCCATCACTGCTCTAGCCTGATTAATAGAAGCACCTACTAAAATAGTAATAGCCCCATTGATGAATGGGCTGGCACCGCTCTGAAGGAATTAGGAAAAATATCTCATGTAATCATCACAATGCCTTAAAAAGCCGGTGCTGTCATTATTTTCCCTATTGTACAGAAAAGGAAACTGAAGCATGGAGAGGTTAAACGTGCCCTTGGTCACAGAGTCTTGAGCGCAGGAGCTGGGAATGTGAACCTGGTGACTCCAGACCTGTGTGCATGAGCATGTGCCATGCGTGGCCAGGAGCTGAGGACAGAGATCCCGATGGACGAGAAAAGCCCACCCCCTGCCCTCGTCAAACAAACAACAAAAATCTATAATAATAAAAGCATCATATGCTAATTAGACCAGACAGCCAAATGACCTTCTGGACGTCCTTCCGGACGAAGTTGAGGTTGCGAGAGTCAAGCCCCTTGCACGACTTTCGTGCATCAGGCCTCTAGTTATTTAATAAACTGGAACTGGATTAAAAGTACTTCATTGTGGGTCATGAGATGTGCCATGAAGGAAGAATAGAGAAGGCCATGAAAATGTAGAGGAGAGAGACTTGCTAGAGATGGAGAGGGGGTGTCAGGGAAGGTTTCCTTGAGGATGTGACATCTGCGATGAGACCCGAAGACATACTTAAATTAGGCCCCTAAGAGGTGAGGTGGGGACAGCAAGCCAGGTAGAGGGAAGAGCATGTGCAAAGGCCCTGAGACGGGGCAAGAGCACAGTGCCTTGGGGAACTGAAAGGTCAAATTAGTGTCCACATGTGCAGGTGAGTTATTCCTCAGCCAGGGGTGCCCCTGTGTCTCTGTATCTCAATCTCCAGCACAGAATTGGGCCCCCAATAAGGGAGGTACGTTTTACTAAGCTCCTACCATGTGCCAAGCCCTTTATGTTATCCCTTTCGATCCTCAAAACTGCCTGGGAGGTAGTTTTTACTGTCCCTACTTCACAGGTGGGGAAACTGAGTCTCAGACAGGTATATTGCCCAAGGAAGCAAAATAATAGTTAACACTTACAAAGTATTTACTATATGCCAAGACTTTACAGAAATTAACTCACTTAATTTCCCCAATAACTGCATGTGGCAAATGTTATCACCATCACCCCCCTTTACAGAGGAGAAATCCAGGCCACAAGAGTGCTTTAAGGCTCTCGCCCAAACTTACACAGCCAGCAAGTGACAGAGTGAGATTTTGAACCAAGGCATTCTGGGAGCTGGAGTTTGTGTCCTTAACCACAGACTATGCTTCCACTCGATAGTGAATAGTGGAGCCGGCTGGAGTGGCTCAGTTGGTTGAGCATCATCCCATGTGCTAAAGGTTTGATTCCTGGTCAGGGAACATGCCCGAGTTTCATGCTCAATCCCTGGCAGGGGGCATGTAAGAGGCAGCCGGCAGCCGATCAATGTTTTGCTCTCACACTGATGTTTCTCTTTTACTCCCTCTCCCTTTGTCTCACTCTCTCTCTCTAATTCAATAAAAATATATTTTTTTAAATAGTGAGTAGTGGAGTTCAAGCCCAGAACTACCTGAGCTCCAAGCCTCTGGCCGCTCCACTCTGCCATGATGATGTTTACTGAAGGAGAGCATGTTTTACCGAATGAAAGTATACATAAACGAATGCACCATGCACATATGTAAGGCAAGGGGGCAGCATAGGGGACAGTTAAGAGTGTGGCTTTGCAGTCAGCAGCCCTGGACTCCAGTTTTGGCTCTGCCAAGGCTGGGGCCAGGTTGACGCAAAAAGCCATCCACCTCAGGCTCTAAATTTAGGGGAATGCCAAAAAAAATGGTAATTGAGATACATAATATTTTAATAAGATATTTTTAAAAGTCAAAATTCATGCAAAGAAAAAGCCTTGATGAATAAGCTATGAACAAATTTAAATAAAGATCGGGTCAGACCCAGCACTTGCACGAGTCCCCCTCGCTCTCCTCACCTCTGTCCCAACACCACTGGGACTCTAGGACCTTGGGTGAGTGGCTTTGCCTCTCTGTGCCTCAGTTTCTTCAACTGTAGGATCATAATTCTCCCCTCTTGGAGGTGCTGTGAAAACTGAGAGGCCGCACATGAAAGTGTGTAACAGCCCAAGATGGGCTGATGATGACAATGATGATGACGATGATAATGGTGTTGTCGGTGGTGGTTGTGGTGGTGCAGGAGGAGGAGGAGGAGGAGGAGGAGGAGGAGGGGGAGGAGACGACATTTGTGACATCAAAACTCACTGTGTTACATGCATTTCCCAGGCTCATATTTGCCGGCTTGTGGTGGTGCAGGAGGAGGAGGAGGAGGAGGAGGAGACGACATTTGTGACATCAAAACTCACTATGTTACATGCATTTCCCAGGCTCATATTTGCCGGTCCATGGGTATGTGTGATTCAAAGTTCTAAACTTTTCAGAGACACGTACGTCCCTGGAAACCTGAAACCCCAGGTGGGGGGAGCAGGGAACGGGCTGGGCAAACCTTCCAACTGAGAAAATGTCCTTTTTTGGTAAAGCGAGCTGGGTGAGCTGGCTCCTGTGCTCTGAGGCTCTGCTGCTGGGCTCCTCAGGCCCAATGGCAGCCTTCACACTGTGCCCTTGGAGGATTCTCAGGCGGGGGTGGGGGGGGGAGGTCACCTGTGGACCCTCCACAGAGCCAGAGCAGGGTGGCCACACAACACACTCCTCTGCCCATGTCCAGCAGTCTGGCCAAAGGATTCCTTTATCAGCCCCCCTCTTCATTGCCTGCGATTTCTGGTATGGCTCCCCAGTGCCCCAGCCTTCAAGCCAGGAGTCCCAGCATTCTCCTGCATTCTCCCTCCTCATCTCCTTTCAGCATCCACAGCCATCAATCACCATCTCTTGTCTCTTCTGGTCCCTCTATGGCTCTTGAATTTGCCCGTCTCTCCATTCTTCTGTCACTTCTCCTGTAAAGCCCACCCCCCCTCCCCTGCCTCCAGGCCCGCTCCCTTCCTCTGATTGCATTCAGAGGCACTGGTGGCGCCTGGTGAGCTTGCTTAACCCAGACAGCCAAGGGCTTCACCTGTTGCTTAAAATCTTTGCAAGGCTTCCTGTGGTGCTCAATGTAAAGTCCTCATTACTTGGCACGGCCGGCCTTCAGGCTCTCACACCCTGGGCCAGAGACAGTCTGGGTGGGGTATACCTGGCAGCTCACAGGTGAAGACAGGCTGTTACCCAGAGGACCCTCTTCTAGTTCAGGGCCTCGCAGTGCAGTGCACCCTCCCCAGCCTCCCAGCATCCGGGAGCCTGT